CCGTCCATTGATTTACCCTGACCCGACTCGACCCACCCAATAACTAGGTCTACTCTGTAGATTGAATTTTTCATTTTAATTTTTACTCAAAGGCCGCCCATTGATTTGTTAGGATTGTGAGACCCTAATTATGTCAATTGTAAGCAACAATAATGAGGAAATAAACGCAAGAAACAATAGAGTGACAAATATATATTCTATGAACAAAACATTATGAGAATTTGGAGAAAAACCATAAAACCATTCTAGGACTTTCATTGATGTGTACATATGAATATATGATGTGACACGATGATCACGTACAAGGTATTTTGATCTGAATGTCACATTATTTGATCCCTCAAAAGTGATCCCTCAAAAGTTTCAACCCGTCTTGTGTGTGGCTAGCCACACCGTGTGACCACTTATAAAAGAACAAAGTAATCCCTGTAATATTGACTGAGTAACCCCTATATCACTAGCCGAGTAACTCTATAATACTAACGAAGTAACCCTTTTCACACTGACGAAGTAACTCCCTTAACACTGATCAAGTAACCCCTGTCACACGGTTTGGCCAACTACATATAAGACTTTGTGCAAAAGCTTTAATTATTTTAACCTTATCACCCAAGGCAACCGACCCTAACCACCTTCTCATGTTTACCCTAAACACTCATAATTATCTCAAATTTTCTCCTTTCTAACCTACAATTTTTCGCAAATATCGATCATATACATAATTTTTATTTCCTTATTACAATTAATCATACAGTGTATAACACTGCATACTTGCCTACTTGGATAACCATGGAAAGGATTATTCTGATGACATTCGGGAGCGAAGTTGGGTCGTCATCGTTGGCCTTCTACACCGGAGACGACTCAGACGATGAAATATGGGTCGACTCCTTTAGGTTGAGGTTGAGGCTGGGTTGATCTGATCATAATGAATTTAAAAAACAATTAATAGTGTTGATAAAATAGAACATTAGAAATTTTTTTCTATACAATGTCTAATATAAAATAAATAACAAATTTAGCAAATTTATTCCAAAATTTTACCATATTCTTACATAAATTAGTATTTCAAATAAATCAGAAAAAAACAATGTTAGCACATTTTGGGGCTAAAATAACTATGAATAAAAAAGCAATTGATATTACTACGAGAATATGGCAATGCAAAAGTTAGTAGAGATTTTTCAAAAATAAAAGAGGATTAATATTAATATAATTTTGGACTATCTAAGTTAACTTTAATACAAAAGATTAAAATTATACTTACATTCAGGTAATTCACTAATTTGATGTTGTAAAGCTTGATAGATTAAACCTTAATTTTGGTTTTCTTCCAAAAATAAGGCTTATTTGGGAATTGGTGTACATTGTGGAGTACCTTACAAAGTGAAAATAATGAAATCTATGAAATAAAATTGACAAGGAATAAGAAAATGGGATTTACGACGTGTTTTAAAGAATAGGAACTATAAGAATAAGAATGATATCGGAGAATGGTCAAAATAGGGGACGTTTAGTATTGGAATAGAGAAAGGGGAAAATGTAAGTGATTTAAGTCAGAGTGGCTGAGACATAGAATTTGTCAATTTTGATGTACTAGTATATATATTGTACGAGATAAAAACAATCATGGGACTTGAATCAGATTGGATTGGTCTTTTAACATGACATCAAATATTAATGTGAAAAAAAAATCATGGTTATTTCCACTTTCATTCACCTATTATTTAGGTACTATTATTTTTCTGTCAATAAATGGTCCTCTCTTATGAGGGAAATTATTGCACTTTACACCCAAATTAAAAGTTTGTTGACTTTCGTTGACTTGGACCATTTTAGAGAAGTTTGAGAAGGGATTTAAAAAAATATAAAACCAATAATGACCCTCAAGCCTCAACCTACAATTAAAGGCTCATTTGGCATTGTTGTGGTTTTTTGGTTTTTTGTTTTTCAAATTCATATGATACATGTCATAAAATGAATAAAAAATTATTCAAACTTATTAAAAACATGATAATTTTGAAAACTGACAACAGAAAAGTAGAAACACTTTTTTCTTGTTAATTTCCTGTTTTTGGTTTTTTGTTTTCAAAAATACAAAAAATGAAAACCAAAAACATTGCCAAACAAGCCATAAGTTTTTTATTGTTCAATGTTAGGAATGTAGGAAAATATATTATTGTGATATATATCCACAGATCATATGATATTTTCCTAAAATTCAATTATTGATTAATTGAATTGTATTATTGTCTAATAAATCATACAAATCTTTTTGATTTGGATAAAATAACTATATACATTTAATTTGGTTAAATATGTAGATTATATTGTAGATAAGTATCAAACACTTTAGGACATAATCATGCACTTTAGGACATTTAAAACTGGTTATTTCTTGCCTTCTATTTGAGATATGGAGATATCCTTAGCATTTTGTCATTAATCAGTGTAGATATTATACTAGAATATTAAAATAAAAGTGTTAGAGTGACGTACTCAGCCCAAGATGCATGGACTATCATGTAAGCTAATTATCCACCCAAACTCCTGAGGCAAAAGGCCCAACCGCCCAATAAAGGCAAAGTGAAGTCCAAGTAGCATTGCATGTACTGTCTCCGGTCCAAATTACTCGCAACTTTGGTATATTTTACATCTCACAAATAATACCTCAAAATTGCGAGTAATTTGGACCGGAGGTTGTATAATGTATTGCCAATCCTTAGTGAGCCTCATTATTTTCATTTTATTATTCTCTTCAATAATAATTAATTTGATATACAACCTCCATTAATTATTATATAATGAGTACAATTTTTAAATGTTTTATATCTTATAAATAATACCCAAACATTACGCATAATAAATAACCCAAGGTAGAATATATTTCTTAATAATTATATTTGTATATATATGATTATTATGCGAGTCTTATGGTCCGTTCTTTTGTGTAGCTTTATTGGACTTTATTTTTGCTAAGCTAACTGCAAGTACTAACATCTTATTGACATGTAACTTTCTTTCACACTATTCATATATTAACTTTTTCAATAAATTTTTTTTATTAACATAATAACAATATTTTTATCATAAAATATGTTGTTAGATAAGTGTTGATATAAAATTTCATAAAACAACTTTATTTAAAAATTTTCATTTATATTTTTTTACTTCAAACTAGTGCATCCATGCATGCAAAGTTTGATTTTATCAATAGTTTTGGGACACAATGAGTTATAATTTAATTAATCCACTACAATATCAACATGACTAATTTCTTACCATCTGAAACTAGGGCATGAAAAACGAATAAAAGTACTAAGTCATTGTGCTATAACTAACACTACATAATTATAAAAGCTATCTGGAGAATCAACAATCAAATTCATTCTTCAAGTCAGGACATCAGATGAATCTTCGTCTACTTCTTGGCTGGGGTCGGATTTGGATTTGGTCATCTATCCACTCCATTGTAAGATCCTGGCTCAAGTCCGATGTCAATTTGGTTATGCACACTATCATAAGAAATTTGGCAACTGTAACGTGGTTAAAATGTGAAGTGTAACTATACTAGAGGTGTTTTTGTTTCTTAAACAATATCTAAATGATTGAAGTGTTGTTAGTGTACGCACAAAAATCACATAATATTAACTAATGTACTAGCCAATATGATTGACAACATAAAGGTAGACCTGGCAAATGGGTCATTCGGGTCGGGTATGGGTCGGGTCATTTCGGGTCGGGTATGGGTCGGGTCAAAAGATTATCGGGTCAAATTCGGGTCGGGTTGGGTCATTTCGAGTTTCAGGTTGATTTCGGGTCGACTGATAATCGGGTCGGGTCGGGTATCAGGTCAACACTTCGGGTCGAGTTCGAGTCAGTTCAGTTTGGGTCGGGTCAATTTTTGGGTCGGGTCAGGTCAATTTTTGGGTCCAATTTCTGGGTCAACTTCGGGTCGGGTCAACTTCTAGTCGAGTCATATTCGGGTGATTCATTGGGTTAAATTCAACTCTGTATATATATTTATTTATTTATTTATTTTTGACGAAAAACTCACTATATTTATTAAGGTTATTTTTTCATGGATTATAGTAATTGTTTGACTTTTATTAACCCTTTTTTTTTATTTTTTTTTTGTGTGTGTGTGTTTTTAGAACTTTAGACTGAGAATCACTTTCAAAATCTCCTGAAACTAAGAGGGATGCTTTAACTAATTGAGTTATACCTCACTCTCTTATTGATCTTAGTTTTAATGTGTACTCTTATTATCATTGTCATTGTTGTAATAATTTTTTTGAATTATTCTTATACTCCCTCCGTCCCAAATTACTCTTAACGATTTGACATTTTGCACTATTCACACATCTCACTTTGACCATCTTTTTTAGCTATTATAGGAAAGTCAGTGTAGTAATGTAAGATGTTGTTGTGTCTATTTTAATCGTATAGTTTCCTAATATAAACTTTTTATAACTTATATAATTATTTTCTAAAAGAAGTTAAAGGTCGGGTCATTTTTGGGTCGGGTCAACTTCGGGTCTCGGGTCAACTTCGGGTCGGGTCGTTTTGGGTCCCGGGTCAACTTTGGGTCGGGTCATCTCGGGTCGGGTCGTTTCGGGTTGGGTAATTTCGGGTTTCGGGTCAAGGTCGGGTCAGTTCCACTTCGGGTCGGGTATGGGTCAGGTTAATTCGGGTTTTGGGTCAATTTCGGGTCACTAGTTTCGGGTCGATTTTGGATCATGGGTCGGATCGTTCGGGTCGGTTCATCGGGTCTGGATCAAGATTGCCAGGTCTACATAAAGGTAATCCTATTAATATTATGAAAAAACTCCATTATAAAGAATGATCGGAATCATCTTATTAAGAATGTATGTGCACAAAAATACTTATTATAAGAATTATTTAGACTTTTAATTAAAGAAAATTATATAAGCCTTATAAATTCAATAAAAAAAAATAAAATAAAGCGGAAATAGAAACCTGGAATTAAGATCAACCGGCTATGGCAAGGGTAAGAAGTCTATTAACATTTGTGAAGCTTGAGCTTGATCACCAACACGATAAGATGGCGGCGGATCAACCATAGCTTGAGCTTGTCCAATTTCAATTTGGTCATCCCCTCCACCATAAGGAATATGGTCACTGCAACATGATTAAAATGTGAATAATAACTATATTAGATATGTTTTTTTTTTTTTTTTTTTTCCTTTTTTAATAATTTTTTTGGTTAAATTAATTCTGAATTATCAAATTGGAGGAACAATTTTTAAAATTCCACAAATTACTTAAATCGTTACAAGTAATTAACAATTCAATAGCTAGAACCACATTACGTATTAGAATAAATACTAATATCCAATTTATATTTTAAGATCTTTTTAAAAAGGTTAGTTTAAGATGTTGAATTTATAATAATAGAGATGTGAGAGGGGATAAAAATAACGTAAACTAACGGGTATTCAATTAATTGAATATAATTAATTTATTTTCATTGTGTCAAAAATTAATTTATTTTTATTTATGAATGTATCTTTATTAAAAAAAATAATTAATTAAATAGATTTTTTTTTTTTTGAAGAATAGAAACTACATAACAAGCTATATAGTGCATAACTAAGCTAAAAATAAGGAACATGATCCCATGATCATCAATCTATCTTGCGGTCATGCCTCATATTACCCATGCCACTACTCTTATTTACGACTCCACTAACAAGTTGGAGCAAATATTCAACATAATAGCCAAATTAATTTTTTTTTTCTTAAAAAAATAAATAAAAAAAAAAGACAAAGAAGTTCACTTTAAAGAATGTCCATAAACATCTAAGACCTAATTTGCACATAAACACTCAAAGAACTCTTTAGACTATACTACTTCAAGTAAATTACTCCGTACTTCATTAAACAAGCCTTATAAATTAATAAAAAGAACAAAATAAAATCAAAGGAAATAATACAAACCTTAAAAAATCAAGAACAATTGGCTCTAGCAAGTCGAATGAAGATGATGAATCTTCGTCTAACCCTAGCGAAGCTTGAATATGATCATCACCAACAAGAGACGGTGTCGGATTAACCGGATTAATGGGGGTTCCATATTTAAGAAATTTAATGTACGAGAGCAAGTAGTGAACCTCGCGAAGTTGGTTGTGGTAGAAGGCGATATTTCTGCGCAAAGTAAGAATTGTAGGCATGCAACCACCAACGGGGTCTCGAAGACGAGCTTCAGCATTGAAGGCTATAACTTTGATAGCGATGTCATGTTGCGTAGAATGTATGTCTTTTAAAATATCTGTGATGTAATCATAACTAAAAACTTTGAGAATGTTGGTTGCTTCTTGCTCCTTTTCGGCGGGGAAATATGGCGCTAAAAGGCAGTTTGCGTCGCATATAAGTCCTTGGATTTGGCATACGGCGCAACCGCGTCTTTGTGCGACGCTTTTGGGTGTGTTCATCATGAATTTTGTGGTGGATGAAAGGGAGGAGATTGAGGGAGAATTTTTCGGTGAGAATGTAGGTTTGATTAATATTGGAATCTCAAGTAGAGGGGTTTTTAAGGTTTATTTATTTTTATTTTTTTGGGTTTTTTTTTTTTTTGGGATAAATATGGACAGTAGTTTTATGTCCGACTTTTTGGAATTTATATAAAATCTTTTTTGACAATTAAATATTATCTTAATGATTCTATAAAAAAATATTTTAATAAATAAAAAGCGTACTCCATCCGTATTTTATTGCTTACTGTGGGTATGTTCACATTTCAGTTCAGTTCAATTTAGGCCTATATATCTCCATGACTCCATGTGCGGAGTTTTTGAATAAATAAAGTAAAAAAATTATAAAATATGAAGGATGTGAAGTTAATGAAAAATAAATTTGTTGGTTGGGAGGTGAAAAATAAAATATGAAATGTCAAGTGTTGTTATTTTGTAGTCAGGATAATTGTTTAGCTTATACCAAGTATATGATATACAATAACAATATCATATGATTATAAGATTCTATATTATTTGTAATTCTATCATGTATTTTTATTCACCTGAAATTTTTTCAGTGGAGGCGGATGCACCATACTAGGTGTATCCGGTTTTCTTTTAAAAAAAGGCGGAATGAACATTTAGTTGTTCAGTAAAAATCATTTAGTTGTTCAGTAAAGAACATATAGCTATTTTATAAAGAACATCTAGTTTTATATATTTTTTTTGTAAATCTAAAGAACATTTGTAATATTAGTAAAGAACATGATAATATTAAAGAACATTATTCATATAGTAAATGTACATTTGGTATAAATGACCATGTATGCATATAAAAAAGTACATTTTATTGTATTATAATGTACATTGTATTATATTCTAATGAACATATATGTTATAATTTTGGTTACATGTTTAATGTACATTGTATTATTTGCATCATGTAAGTATATGAAAAAAGAACATTTTACTGTATTTTAATGTACATTGTATTATTTGAATCTACAACTTTTTCTAAAATTGTCTATTTACTTGCTTTTTTCTTCAAAAATGGATTAATCGGAGGATCTTCTTCAAGAACTTCATTTTATTTCTCATTGCAACAACAAAATAACATCAAAATCGCAATTAGTTCCCAATAAAATCAAATATTACAATTTTCAATCAAATTTATAAAAAACAAACACTCAAACTCAAAATAAACAAGTATCAATGTCAAATAAACAAGTATGAATGTCGAATTTGGTCTTACCTTTCGTTTTTATTTGTCATCTTGAACAATTTTGGACTCAAAATTTCGAATTTCTTGAAATTTTGCTTGAGGTTTGAGGAGTTTAAATGGGTTTGAAGTTTTGTTTGGAGAGAGAAAGTGAACTTTTGGTAAAAAAAATTATTGTAATGATTTGTAATTAATGTATGGTAAAAAAAATAATTATAGTACTATTTATCTATTTCATTATACAAAAAAAAAAAAAAAAATTATAATATCATACAAAAATAATATACAAAATTGTTGCACAAAAATCTGATGTACATTATAAATGAACACTATGTTCTTTTATGTATATGTTCTTGTACATTATAAATGAACACTATGTTCTTTAATATGCCCATGTACATTAGTATATACCTGCATATTCATTCCGCCTTTTTGTACTTTGAAGCGGATGCACCATGTGGATCGTGCATCCGCCTCCATGAACCAAGCTTTATTATTCACCCAGTTTTAAACTCAAATTATATGCAGGTTATTAATTTTTGGACCTACGCAATGCCCTAGGTAGTTGTATATGAACAATTGTAGATCAATCACAACTCTTATACGTATTCCACACTTCCACTAAATTATTTATTTGTACTATATCTAATAAAATAAATAGGAAATTGATTTAAGGAATGCAAAATTGGTTTTACAAATTCTAGCTACATTCCATTATTCTTGATTAATTTAAAATTTAAGGTGTGTTTTCTTTTAGCAGAATAACTTGTATGAGCCTGATTCACAATAATATTATTGTGGATCCGAAGTTCAACATATGCGTAACGGGTCTCGTATTGAACATAGTGACCCTAATATTAAATATAGTAACCTTAATTTTAACATAATAACCTTTAATAAAATTTGTATGATTTTTAATATTGTTGCAAACCTGAAGTATGATGTTATGATCCTAATTTTAACCTAGTGATTTATATTAATCATATTGACCAGGATTTTAAAAATTTTCATTTAAAATTTTTTATCTCTTATGACCTTTATAAAAACAATCACTTTTATTTTAACATAATGATCATTATTTTAACATAGTGACCTTTTTTTTTAAATTAATAAAATGACCATATTATCTCTATTTTAAGTGGTCCACAATAAATTAGTGTGAACCAGGTCTATTTAAGAGTTTGTATTCTTTTAACAGGTCCTGTTGGTCAACAAATTGTTATACTAGGATATCTAACACATGTTAAACAATGATAAATCTAATAGTTAAAATTTTAAAATTAAACAAACGTTATTTACGCGGTTAGCTTAAAATAAGTCAACCTTTTATTTAACAAATTACAAAGTATTTTAAGTTCTTTTATCAGGTAAAATGACCTACAACCTGTCAACAAGTCATCTTAATTCTCTTTTCTCAAAATTTCTCCACCCTTATCCAACCACCACTTAACCAACCACCTACTAGCCAGCTTCACCCCTTAGTTGGCATTCAAGGAGGGGTCGTGTTTGCTTGAATTTAGGGAAGGGGAAGAAAGGGGTCATGGTAGGGTAAAGGAAGGAAAGAGAGAAAGAGAGAAATTGAAGAGGGGGTTTGGTCGGTATTTAATTTAGGGAAGGGGGGAGTTTGGTCGCAGGGGATGGGTTGCTTGGCGGCTAGGAGGGAAGAGGGAGAAAGGGGTTGTGGTGAGGGTTAGCATAGTAAGGGTGGTATATATGTGCATGTGGTTGGTTGGCCAGTGGGCAAGGGGGTGGTCTAGCCAACAGATAAAGGATGTGGGGGTTGTTATGTGCTGGGGAGGGCTATTTAAATATTTAAAAATAACGAATAATATCATGACATGTGTCATAATTAACCTAAATAATCAGTAGCCCTCAAAATCAACTGATTATTCATTATGAAAAAAAACCCCTAAAAAAGTTAACTTGCTCTCAGTTTATTAAAAAGTTGCTTATTTTGAGCTAATCGTGTGAATGTTTGTTGTTGTTATGTAGATTACTCTAGGTAAGAATCAAACACTTTTGGACATAAATTATGCATTATAGGATATTGACGTTTTTTTTTAATTTTTTTTTAATTTTATTTTATTTTTTAATCAAAGAAATCGGTTAGGTCTTGCCTTATGTTGTATGTGTAATCTCTTTAGCATTTTGTCATAATCAGTGTAAATATTGGACGTATGTACTAGAATATTAAATTAAAATCAAAGTATAAAAACCATATAAAAAAAATTTAGGCCTCTAATATATAATGCATGGACTATCAAGAATACTCATTACATTAATTCCAAGATGCATGCAGAATAGAGCATACAAACTACGTATTTAATCCACTACAAGGTCCAAAACATATATATACGCCAAATGCCACTAGCACTACAATCTAAAGTACTAACATAGTAGTTAATCCACAATAACGTTGGCATTATTACTTATTATTTCTTATAATCCGAACTAGGGTGTGAAAAACGAACTAAAGCATTAAAATGATATTTGCAATAACACTATTACATACTTGTAAAAGCTACCTAGAGAATTATCAACAAATTCGTAGAAATTAAACATTTTCTTCAACTCAGGCAATCAGAATTTGCTAATCTTGTAGAATCTTCAGATGAATCGTCTTCTCTTTGGCTCCGGTTCTTGTTCGATTTGGTCATCCACTCCATCATTAGATGCTGGCTCAAGTCCGACTGCGATTTGGTCATCCACATCATTAGGTTTTGGCTCAAGTCCAATGTCGATTTGATTATCCACCCCATCATTAGGAATTTGGCCACTGCAACATGGTTAAAATGTGAATTATAACTAGACTTAGAGGTGTTTTTTTTTTTCTTTTTTCTAAAAATGAATCTGAATTATTAAAGTGTACGTACAAAATCCATTTATATAATTACAACTTAACAAATAACTAATATAAGTATATAGCCTAGCTAAGCTAGTACGATTATTTATAGTCTTAATTTGTTGGCAAACAATTACAACTACAAGAGGAAGATGTCCACTATAAATAATGTCCAAATATCTAATTAGAATGTGCATAAAAATACTTTTAAGAATTATTTTGACTTTAATCGATAAAATTATATAAGCCTTATAAATGCATTAAAAAAAATAAAAGCAAATAATTGAAACGAACCTGAGATCAAGCTGTGGCACGGGTAAGAAGTGAAAGAACTCTTGTGGAGCTTGAGCTTGATTATCGCCAACACGATAAGGCGGCGGATCAAATGTAGCTTGAGCTTGTCCGATCTCAATTTCGTTACTTACTTCACCATTAGGAATTTGATCACTGCAACATGATCGATAATGTGATTTATGTGAATTAACACGTAATTCGCTATTGGACGTACAAAAATCCCACACGTTACATTAAAAGTGATTAACAATTCAATAGCTAGAACCACATTACGTATTAGAATAAATACATGCATATCCAATTTAATTTTAAGATCTATTTTTTAAAAGTTAGTTTAATAACCAATTTTATTATTGACAACTTTTGGAATTAATACTGTTTTCACTCGTACTATTGTAATCTTTAATTTGTTGGTGAACCAATAATCAAAATTAAAAAGAACAAAGAAGTTCACTATAAATTAAAGAATGTCCGTTAAGTTAGAGTTTTCATAGAAATATCATAAGTTATGATCTATTTACATTTTAAGATCTATTTTAAAAATTTCAATCGACAACTTTTGGAATTAATACAATTTATACTCGTAATATTGTAATCTTTAATTTGTTGGTTAAGTAGTAAACC